TGCTGCCAGTGGGGAGCCCGGTTGGTCCCCCACCGCATCCAGCTCCTCATCGACCCACACCTTCACCTGCGTGTGCGGGCGGAGAGGCACCCAACCCAAAACCTAACCTGCAGGAAAACACAGCAATGGTTGTTCAATGGCACAAAGGAGGGAGCAGGAAAAAGCAGCTGCCGGCGGGGGAGAGCTCGGACCCTGCGCTAGTGCCGGAGCAAAGCACACGCACGCGTGACCCACAACCAGAGTGGCGCAGCTCCAGGGAGGAGCATCCCCAGGGAGGTGCTAGGCTCTGTGCAAGGGATGCGGCCCTGGAGACCCAAAGGGACAAGGCAGAGGGCGCGAGGGGGCGAGAGGGTCCCCGGTGCCCGAGCAAGAGCCCGGTGGCAGCCGAGTGTCCCGCTGCGGCGTTGCAGTGGGCTCTGCAGGACCAGGCGCCGGGCAGCACCACAGGAGCGGGGCCGGGCCCTCGGACAGACACAGCCCCAGGGCTGCCCCTGGCTGGGGGGAGCTGGGACGCTGCTCCCCACCCACGTGCAGACCCTGAGCCAGGACATCGTGAGCTGAAGGGACCAGACCTGCTCTGGGGGACCCATCCCCAGCGGGAGCACCTGGGCCACAGACTCCCACTTATGGGCATGGTGTCCAATCCACGCCCTGGACCAAGACGCGAGGTGCGATGGGGCAGCGAGCGCCCAGCCAGCTCCAACCTCCCCAGGCTGCAGCCAGTGCCTCCGGGCTGGTTCTGCCCCTCCTCAGCCCAGCTCCGCTCCATCACCCCCAGCAGAGATGGAGCCGGGAAGGCAGCTGGTGGCAAGGACCAGCCCCTCGCCTGGAGGGGAGCACGGCCAGAAATAGCACCTGCGCCTCGGCCTCCCAGCCAGGGCACGTTCCTGCGCCGCTCCCCGCACCCGCCATGGCGAGCCATCGCAGCCCGGTCGCTTTGTCACGTCAGACGTGAGCCATCGCAGCCTGGTCACTTTGTCACGTCAGACGTGAGCGATGGCCCCAGCAAAAACCACCAAACTTGTTCCATTTCTTACCCAACCAGCTCCAAACGAGTCTGTGAGAAGGAGCAGCCACCATGTTAACCGTGTGGTGACTGCGGCGGGCACCGGCCCTGGCCGGGAGCCCCTGTCAGGCAGGTCAGCGGCAGCCACGCACCCACCATGGGCTTTCGCTTTGCCCCCTCGAAACCCACCCCAAGCACTGCTCACACGTGAGAAATCACCCCAGCTGGGCGAGCTGGGAACCCCGCACCGCAGCAGCAGCTGAAACGTGGCAGGAGAAGGTTTTTCCAGGTCTCCCGGGCTGCATTTCGGTGACTAAACAGCAAAGCCTTCCCTCCGTGCCAGCCCAGCTGATGGACACACGCAGGCTCAGCCGGGGACCTTCCCGCTGCCACCTGCCTCCCCAGCCCAGGATTCTGGTGGCAGAAGCTTCTGGCTCAACCTGCAGCAGAGGATGAGCTATTAACCCTGATATACCAGTCCTGAGATAAACCCTCGTCCCGCAGGCAGCCCCCCGCCGAGATGAAAGGCGCCGCTGGGCTGCCCTGGCTGCACTGGCAAAGCCAAGGAGGAAAAACATTCCAGGAGAGTTGCTCAGCGCCAGCCCCGCGGCCCCGGCAGGCTTGGCAAAGGCTGCTCGCCATCCACATTTGGGACGTTTTCTCCAACGAACCTTCTCTTCTTTTATTCCAAAACGGCTGAAGAAACACCAAACAAGCCGCCTGCCTTCCCCCTCCTATGGGAGGCACGACCCTTCCCAGAAAGCTCTCGGGAGGAAGGGCCAGGTCCTCGGGTAAGGCTGCTTTGAAAGCGACACCAAAGCTCTGCTGGTGCCAGGACCTCGAACGCCTGGGGAGGCCAGCGCCTTCCCCAGCCAACCCTGGCCCGCTCATAGGGTCCCAAAAGCCGGAGACGACGCAGGGAGCCTCCCAAAAGCCGGAGAAGATGCAGGGAGCCTCCCAGGCCGTTGAACCCTCTGCCCACCCCACCCAGCAGCCCCCACAGGGGCAGGTTCCCCATCTACTGCTCTGGTGCCTGCCACAGCAAGGTCCCGACACGCGGCCTGGAGTGCACAGCGCCGTCACAAACACCCGGTTAGCAGGTCAGGGAGACCCACTGACTGCCCGAAGTCCCTGCAACAGAAAGGGGCATCAGTTGACATCTGCCCCACGTCACCTGGGCCAGCGCTTCGGAGCCGCGTGCCACCACCTTGCTCCTCCTGCCAGCTCTGCACTGGGCTGTGCCGCAGAAGCCCAGGCAGAGCAGGAACCTCACCCCTCTCCCCACGCACACTCCTCTGAGGACATCGCTTACCCCAGCGCGCAGCCCTGCCCCGTGCTCCTGACCCCGGCTCCTCCTGGAGCTGGCAGGGCTGCGCTGGAGATTCAGCATGACCAGACCAAAACCAAAGGCCCTTGGTGAGAGCACCAAGTGAACCCAGGTTTCTGTCCCTCTCGCGCCTCCCGGCCCAGGTGAGCACGAACACAGGCAGCGAGGTAGGTCACTGCCCGCTCCGGTCACATTCTTTTCATTCTCCAGCCTCCAGCTCTGTCACAGAAACTGAGTCACAAACACACCTGGATATTTGTCTCTCTCTCCTTTTTTAATCAGCTGTATTTTAAGTAGCTTTGAAATACATTTTTCTCCAAAATGTTGTTTTTCCTGTATATTATTCGATCACAATGATATTTGGCTGGTCCTTCCTCTGATGCACGCCCAGTCCTGATGTCGACACAGCGGAAAAGTCTGCTCAGGCTGAGAGAAGGGCAGGACTGCAACAGGGGGAAGGTGTAAAAAATACAAAAGACCAGGCAAGGATGCTTTCAGTTGCAATCCTGCAGCCAACGGCTCAACGATCCGCAGGCTGGCAATGCACGTACGGGTGCTGGTCACGTCGGAGTCTGGTGCCCAGAGCTCACAGCATGCCTGTGCTCGGCATGCAGGAGGGCTTGGACAAGCCCAGCCTGCCCTGGGGTGAAACGGGACGGCTCAGCACAGCAGCCTCCGGAGAGCTTACCCTGTAGTTTTCCTCAAAATCATGCATAACGTCTCATTGAGCTGAAACGTCCATTTATTTAACAGCAGTAATAATTTAAAATTATAAAAACCCTTACAGTGTTGAGTATCAGAAGGGCGAGGTTATAAAGAAAAATAAATGGGACTTGAGATGGGGAAGGGAAGGATAATGGGGTCTATTTCAAGAGTTCATTTTTTCAGTGACAACTATTGGCCCTCCCCAGCTGGAGATCCTGGGAGGGAGGCAGTATCATTATGCTTTCATTTTAAAGACTTCAATCTCCAAAGCAGAAGAGATAGTATCCAAGGGGAGGAGGAGGAGCAAAAGAAATAAAGAAAGGAATCTCAAATTCAAAACCATACAAACAACCTTTCCATTCAGAATTGCAACCGCTAGCTCAGCACCTCGGGTTTCCCATCTGTGGAGCGCAGCAGCCTTTCACTGCAATGGTTAAAAGTCCACGCGGCAAATGGATGTTTTTATTAATAGACAGAGCTCTTTCCCCCCATCACAGGACTTGAGGCTTCTCATCTCTGAAGGACCCAGAGTCTCCGTGTCTTCAGAACTCAAAAGGGAATTCTGGGGGCGCTGCTTCCCCCTTGCTACCCTCCCCTCGCTCTGCTCTGGAAGCCCCTTTCGTTGCTTACGTTGGCTGGGGAGGGAGGAAGGACAATGGACAGGGCCCCAGGGACAGAGGGTTGGATTAAGATTCATGAGTTGTTCGATGAGTTTTCGTTACTTGGTGAGCTGGAGGAAGAGGAGGAAGAGGATGATGAGAAGTTCATCCCCGTGAGTCCTGGGGGGTTTGTGGCAGTGTTTTGTCCACTTAAGCTTTTCCGGCACACAGGACACGTGTCATGCTTTGGAGAGCAGACAAAAACAAAACAAGAAATATGGGAAACAGGATTAGAAACACGATACAGGAGCAGCACTCAAGGAAAAGGCTAGGATGACACTCCTTCCTCTGATCAAAGGCTGCTCATGCTTAGGCCTCATCATGGAGGTATGAAAATATTTACAGAGGAGAACAGTACCACCAGAAAAAACACCCAAGTGCTACAAAACCCAAGTCACCCACTCAGACGGCACTAACCTGTTCCAGCCAGGGGACTATACAGCTGTTGTGGAATAGGTGATTGCAAGGTAACTGTCGGACATTTTCACCGACTGTATAGTCTTCTTTACACACGGGACACTCTAACCCAGAATCTGTATCATAAAAGGCACGCAAAACACAGCTAAGCAATAAAGGAGAGAACGACACTCAAAACACCCGACTCGGGATCCCATCACCTTTTCCCCTTCCCCCCACCGCTGCTTCACCCCTGCAGAGAGGAAAGCTTGTTGCTTTGCAGTTCCTACCACCATCACTCCACCTCTCACTGCCCTGGGTTTGCTTCATTGTTCCCTTCCCTTCTGCTTTTTCATCTCTATCCACGCTGAACTTTTCAGAACAGTTTGCCTCCCCAGGGCAAATCCATCCAGTCCACTGCTCTTTTTTTTGTGAGTATAACAGAGCAGTACTTCAGCTTTCTCCCCTCTTTGAAATGTTTTAGGCCTTGAAGGTACTAGCAGACAAAATTAAAATCCCAAGAAAACGTTAAACAGAACTTTCACAGAGCTCTTTGTGAACGATTCCCTGGAGATATACATACCTACGTGTTCCTGTGCGATCTGTATGGTGGGGAGGGCCTGGATCTTTTCTTTGTCTGCTGGCGGTGGTCCAGTGTTTTCAAACTGATTTAGTAACTGAAAAAACAATAGGCCACAGAAGGCAGAAAGATGATGTGAGCTCAGCAGCACACAGAATCTGTTCCTTTATTGATCCAGGGCGCTTGAACCCTGCATCGCCTGCACTGCGGACCTCGTCTCCCATTTCTGCACCTTCAGTGGTTTGCCCCCCCCCCCCCCCCACAACAACTGCTGACACTTTTGCCCCCATCACAACAACTGCTGACAATTTTGCAGCACTGCACAAGAGGACGTGAGACTCCATTACAATGCAAATTTTACCTGTGTAATAATTGCATCCAAGCCGTTGGCACCCCATGCGTAGTCCATTGGGTTTGAATGCAAGACTCCCCTTTAAGAATAAGGACAACAATTAAATTCGGCTGGGAGCACGAACAAGAACACTGTCAGAAAGAGCAGCACATCTTCCAACTCACCAAGGACCTAGTCCTAGGTTTGGTATTGTTGTAGGTGCAATAATTCCATTGACCAGCTGCTGGATAATTCTGAAAGACAAGAAAACCAGGATCCTGTAAGAATTAGTGTCTGCTAACTCCCAGCCCAGAAACATGACATGGAAGGAGTGGCTAAATACTGTCGCATCACCAGAGGGAAGAGGAAAAATATCCTGTAGCAATTGCAATTGCATCTTATGAACTGATTATTCATTGATAAAGAGAAGTGTCAATATTTTATTCGTAAGGGGATAATTTCTGACAAAGATGGCACGTGGCTCTCCAGGATGCAGTTAAAGAAACATTAGTCTTGTTGTCCAGTGTTTTCTCTCGTTTCCCCTCGCACTCAGTACAACATTCTGGTAATACCTGGTAGTGACCAGGGAACGCTTTCTCATTGCAGGTTTAACGGTCAAAACTCCCAGCCACACTGTAGTCCATGCCACTGTGCTCAGGTGAAATGGTCCCTATAAACGCAAGGCAAGAGCTTGCCAACAGCTGCAGGCCCAGCTGAAGCCTGACCATCCAGCAGCGCGAGTTCACAGGGGCAAAGCTGGACACCTACGGAAGAGTCGCACTGGACAGCTGTGCTCAGGAGCGGCCTTTAAGAGACTCGAACTGATGAGAACAAGGGATGGGCTGATCTTCAGCTAACTCTCATCAGTGAAAACTAACGGGGCTTCCTCCACAAGAACCTGGCAGTTGTTCTCACCCTTCTAGTGTGGGAACTCCCTCGTGCCTGCCAGCGGCACGGCGTGTGGCGAGACGGGCTCGGGGCTGCCTTGCGCCGTATCGATGCCGAGACTGATGCTCTCGCTCCCTCCGGTTCTCAGAGTCCCTGTTGTCTTCCGACTGCACGTTGGACCCGAATGGAAACTCAAAGCTGTCATCAAAGATCCCGAAGGCAAATTGGCCATAGCCCTGTGGCAAGGTGAACAAGTGCTGATCCACGTTCTGGGAGGGAGAGAATTCAGGGAACAGATTGTAACGAGGAGAGAAACAGCTCTTAGCTTTCACGCCTGGTATTTCACCAGCCTTCCAACAAAGACTAGTCTCTCCAGATCCCCAGCAACTCGCAAGCCTTGGCTGACACAGGTGGATCAGTGCGCTCTCAGAGGCAGCTTAGTGAGGAACAGACGCAGACTGAAACCACGTATGAAGGTAAGAAGTAACTACAACTTCCCTGGTTCTCCTTAGCTGCTGCATGCAACTGCTGCCTTTGAAGTTGAGGCTACTGCATAGCAACACACCCAGACAGCTCACTAAATCCTAGCTTAGCCCCCTCACAACAAGAATAAGCTACAAGTCATGGTCCTATTAAAAACATGCAGTAAAAATACGACACGCAGAGATTTCAGGAGCAGCATGTGGATGATATTAATACCTCCTTTCCCAAATTTTGCCATAATCCAGGGAACATTTAAACAATGTACTAATGGAAAAAGACTTCAATTCAATGGCAAAGCAGAAAGTGTTGGAAGACAGAGGCAGGCCTTACTCACCTCAAAAGGATGCCTGCTCTGATCACTGGCTGACGTAGAGGAGCTGGTCTCATTGTCAGCGTTCCTGTGAAGAACGAAGAGCACTGGTAAGCCTCAGAAGCGTGCTACCAAAAGATTTTCCCAGCAGAGGGGAGCGAGGGGCATGAGTTTGACAGGAAAAGCAGACGCCACAGCTGCACCGTAACAGCACACAGGAAGTGACCGATTCATTTTTGTGCTGAGCCAGAGCTCGAAGGGACCTCAGAGGTCTGCTCACCTTCCCTTCCGCCCCGGGGCAGGGTCAGCTCCATACAGAAACTAGTCTGCCCTCAGCTGCTGTTTTTCTAATCGTTCGTATCAATTTTCATTTTTCCCCTCCCTGCAACCTTCATTTTCCCACACCTTCACCCGTCTCTCCCCACCCTTTTAAATTCTGATTTCATGAAGCTACAGAGAAGTGACTGAACCACGATGTCAAGCAAGGATTCCCTGCACAGTCCACCTCAAACAAATCGGCTAATCCTCTGGAGCACCAGGAAGAGAAGACTTAAGGTACAAACCCTGATCGCTATGACCCAAACATGCTTAAGTCTAATCTTGAATCAAAGGAACTTCCCTATTGCAGAGGCATGTGACCAAATGGGACAGATTATTAGGAAAACTCTTAATGCTGTTAGGCTTCTGCTTTTAGAGAGCTGCAGGAACATTTACTGCTCAGTATCCAGGTCTACGCTTTGACATTCATGGTAACAAAAAAACCCTAAGGTTCAGCGATTACGCGACTCTCCCAAGGTCACAGCAAATCACCAATACAGTCAGGATTAGCCAGGATTGATTCTCAGCCTCTAAGGTTGGTGTAGTCAGACCAAACGTCACCTTGACAGTACCGAAACCTCAGTCTGTAAAGATGACCTCTCTCGGCAGGCAGCAACACGCGTCTGGCACACCCCCCATGCAGCACAGCGTGCCCTCGCACTGAACGCCTGCCAGCACGCTGCCTGTCCCAAAGCCAGCCGCAGCCAAGGTCCGGCGAACGAGTCTGAAACGTCTTAAGACATTACTCCTGCTCTTGCCCGTTCTGACACTGCCAGAGAGCAGTCCCACTACTGAGTCAGCAGTAAAGCACGTGAGCGCAGATCTCAGCTGCTCCGGTGCAGAGTCCAAAGTCTTAGTCAAAAAGTTTTGCCGTTAATACTCTAAACTAAGTTATTAAATTATACACTGAAGCATACATACACTCTCCATTCTGCAGATTCCTCTCTCTCAGGGTTATCTCTACCCTGATGACTCAAACCCAGTTCAGAACTACCACAACCCATTCCTCCCCCACCCTCTACCAGCAATGTATGACACTCAGCGTTCCCATGGCTGATCTACCTGTGGATGCAAACTATGCAAATTAAGCACTTTCTGCCCATAGTGAGGAAAGATGAGCCAAATATTGGGCAGAAGTAGTAAAAATGGTGTATTTAGTATCCAACATTGCCTTTTAACTAGAAAAAGAGCAAAACAGACTGAGTTCATTCCAGCAATAGCCTTTGGGGCAGCACGTTACCTTGGCTCTTCGGGAAGTTCTTCAATAAAACCAGATTCACACCGTGGGCAAATATAGTCCTACGGGAGAAGAAATACTGAATGAGAGAAAAGGAAGTGGTACGTAAAAGCTGCAAAGAGTGCCTTCAGTGTGATGGGGTGGAAGAGTCCTGCAGCCCATCGTCCCAAACGCATGCCACGATTACAGAGCCAAAAAGACCCCGAACCACTGATATTTGCCTTCACCAGACTAGTGAGGCAAATTGTTGAGCCTGAGCCTGTTTGGAACTTGGCTTCAGAAAAGATTTGGATAACACTAATTAATCCCCAGTATAGACAAAGCATTAGATAACATCTGATGTACTTCTGGGTGAAGTGAAAGCAAAACCAGCGGCCTTCCCAAAAGAGCAGCACTCAAACACTAGTCTTTAAATAGCTGCGTGTTTTGGGGGCCTTCCCCCGCCCCCCTCAAGGGGCCAAACTGTCCTAACGAAAGGAACAAAGAGGGAATTGCAGCACGGGCTAATCACAGTGTCACTGTCACTTAGGAAGGGCTGAATGGGAAGCTGTTACTAATGTAGTCTGGGGTTCACGCCACACAGAGGTCAAGGAGACACAAGAGGGTCATTCTGCAACACACAATACCAGAATTTTACACTCCCACGCTCAACGCTCGTTAAAGAAAGCTACTGCCACCCTTGTAGCCTTTAACACTGAAGACTGAATATGCTGGAATAAACAGCCCGTGTGTGCAGAAGCAGATTCCTCAGGAGTTTGCAACAGTCACTTCTCCTCACAATTCCTGGTGTTAGTGAAGAATTTATGCTGCACAACCACACTGTCCTAGCGAGCAGCAGCCCAGAACGCTTGAGATCCTGAAAGGAAATTACTTCACCTTTCAGCGCTTGAAAAGAAGTAGCACCACGCAGCACCATCGAGACAGAAGAGGAAGCAACAGACCCCGTACCTAACCCCAACCACAGCCGAGGCGGAACAGCCACCGCGGGCAAACACAACCGCTCAAAACCCCGCGCTGGCAAAGCCAGGCTCAGCATGGAAGAAATTTAAGAGCTTCTAAAAATAATGCTACTTCCCTTTACTACTGCTACGTTCGAATTGGCACAGGCCCTTAAACAAAGTCAATGGATTCCCCAAAAGAGGAGAGGATGCCAGCCACGTGGATTTGCTCTGATAAGACATCTGGGATCGCTCCTCCAGCCACCGCAGAAAAACGCGATAAGGCCCAAGCACAAGGCAGCAACACCAGCAATCCACTCAACCCTGCCCCCGACTGCCCACCGAGATAAGGAAGCAGCAAACACCAAGGCCTAGAAACAGACTGAGAGAAGCTGCTGCTCCCTCTTCTGCGCAGGACTCTTTAGATTTGCGATTGTGAAATAACTGGGTCTACGCAATTTACACAACGCTTGATTTCAAGACCATTTCTACACCATCCAAATTCTTCTCAAAGCTGGTTACCAGCACACGGGAACTCCTGTGTCGAACACCGAAAATCAGACCAATTGCCTCTGCCTTTGAAATATCCCCTTGCTGTTTTACTTTCCACCAGTATGCCACTGGGGTAAACTGTTACGGCAGACGCAGTCAAGAGCAGTGAGCAACTTACTCCTCGACTCCCCTACCTAAGGGAGGCTTTTTTTTCTCCTGTGTGCTTACAGGCAACTCTGAACACAGGGATCAGCAAATTCCTCAGCAGCTGGAACAGCACAAATGTCAAAGTTTGTTGTTTCTCAGGCTGTTTGAATCACTCCTTTTGCAGCACACGCTACGGTGCCTCCAGTAGCTCGGTCGGCAAAGAGTAAGTGAAACCGAATGAACTTGGACCCCCAAAACCAAGTTCATTAACTAGCAATTAACTAGACCTGAATCAACAAAAGCAGCTGTCCGCTCCCTACCACAGTTCAGTGCGTCCGCTGCCAGATGTGCTCTGCTGGCACAAGCCCAACATGTGGTGTTTAAACGGAAAAAAATGACTGATATTTCTAGGTTACAACCTTCAGCTCCCGAGCCGCTTTCTCCAGCCCGTCTATGTATTTAGCAGGAGCATTATCAAGAGTTTTGCCCTCACGCTTAAACACAAGCTGTGAGATTTACCAGTAAGGCCTACCCTCGCCTAACCAGTAAGGCCGACGGAGAGGGCGAAAGGACAAACGGCGCGTCACAAAACCAAACCGACGGCGAAGTCTAATCAACCATGGCAGAGAGACACCTATGCTCACAATCGGGTGACTTTTAAAATTCAACAAACATTAACAAAAAGCAATGCCTTATTCTGACAAGACGCTGTGAAAAGTTTCAGGAGAAATAGAGACTGGCAGGATCCTCCGAATCGAATTTAACATCTCGCAACATCTGGCAGGCGATCAACAGAAAACCTAGCCGTGGCCCACCACGAGGTTTTAGCCAGCGCCTTTCCAACAGCCAACGCTCCTTTTCCACCCACGCCAGAAAAATATGACTCCCTGCAAGCAGGGGTTTACTCGGCGATTAACGCACATCTGCTCAGGCGCTGCACCTGGCCGACAAAGCGCTTGTGCGTTAGCGAGTGGAAACGGTGCAGACGTATCGTTCGTGCACTTGCCCACGTCCTAGATATTATCACCCGCGAAGCTTTTCTCACGCTCATTTAAATCCTACTGAAAGAGACAAAAAAGAAACCCCCTCGTTATCCCACGGGGCTTCAGTTCGCTCCGGACAAAGCAGCGGGTTAATGGTGCCGGAGCCCGGGGGGGTGGCACGCCATTTCAGAGAGACGGGGGCGCGGAAAGCCCGGGGAAGGGCCGCTGCAGGTCGGGACCACCGCCCTCAAACCCGCTCTGGGGCAGGGCTGCTCGGCGGGTCCCCCTCT